GCCACACACCACCTTGCTGCTCCGTGGGGGGCCGGCTTCCGACTCAGCTGTGAGCCAGTTATCCCTGCACGGCCTCCAGATCTGCAGTCTTTTTTTTTTTTAATTGAAGTACAGTTTCAATGTGTCAATTTCTGGGGTACAGCATGTTTCAGTCATATATATGCATACATATATTTGTTTTCATATTCTTTTTCATTAAAGATATTGAATAGAGTTCCCTGTACGACACAGAAGAATTTTGGTGTTTTAAAAATCTATTTTATATATAGTAGGTAACATTAGCAATTCTCCAACTTCCAGCTTATCTCCTCCCACCCCCTACCCCCTGGTAACCATAGCTGTGCTCACTGTCTGTGAGTCTGTTTCTGTTTTGTAGATGGGTTCAGTAATGCCTTTTTTTCTTTCTTTACTGGGCTTTCCTCTCTGGGTTCCATGTGTCTGCTCTGCAGGCCCCCCGCACACCCCTCCCTACAGAGGACATGAAGCAGAAAAGAACAAATCTTGAGATCTGTTCCTTTGGCTTTAACCCTGTGCCCTGTTCTCTAGGCTCAGTCTTGCTCCCTCTGCACCTTTTATAAAACAATGTTGCCTTTGGCCTGAAATAAACAGGAGAGCCTATTCTCAAGGCTCTGACCTTTAAGGATGTTAGCACTTTTATACTTATCTAAAGATAGCAAGTTGCAGAATAGGAAAAAACCTTTGTTTTGTTGGAGGTTTACAGGGACACCATGGACTGACCCACATAGACGGCTGCAAGAACAAAGAATTCCTGCAGCAAGAAGTTTGCACCAATCAACCACATCCCCTCCCCTTTTTATTATAAAAGGAGCCTAAATTCTGATTTAGGTGGGATGGTTCTCCAAGACATTATTCTGCCATCCTCTTGGTCTGCCAGCTTACCAGAATAAAGTTGCTATTCCTTGCCCCAACACCTTGTCTCCCGATTTATTGGCCTGTCGTGCGGCGAGCCGAACGAGTTTGGACTCGGTAACAGGTGTGCTTCCCCGGTGCTCACCTTCTGGGTGCGCGGATGTCCTCCAGCCCACAGGGGTCGCAGCATGCAACCAGCAGCAGCTTGTTCCCGAGCCCCCGTGGGCAGTCTGTCCCACGAGACACTCTCCCTGGCACGCCAGAGGACAGAGGTCTCGCACGTTCCAGAGACAGGCGTCCCGCAGTTTCCACTGGCCCAGGAGCACGGAGCCCAGCCAGGCCTTCTCCCAGGGCCGGATTTCAGCCGTGGGAGAGAGGAGCGCTCTTCCCTGGGCCCCTTTCTCAGCCTTAGGGCTAGTTTCTTCGTGTTGTATCTGCTGCTGTCTTCTGTGCTTTCCTCCCCTCTCGTGTGCGGTTCCAGTTGTCTGTTCCAGTCAGTCATCTTTCATGCTAATTTCTCCCCGTGTGTTTCACTCCCAATTGGAGCCTGACTGATACAGTTAGCCCTGAGGTGGTGGGCTCAGACCTCTGGGCTCATGTCCTGGTTCACATCACCTACATGTGACTGGGGGCAAGTTACTGTAAGCCTGGTCAGTAGGAATGAGCTTCCACGGGTTTGATTAACCCAAAGATACTGGCAAGCTCCTCTTTCGGGCAAGAAAGGGTGAAGTCAGGGAGGAGATGCTAGGCAGGGGGACCTCCTGGTGGGACGCCAGGTGAAGTATAGGTGCTCAGTTACACCTGAACTTCAGCTAAACACTGGGTACTTTTTATAGCCTAGCAGGTCCCAAGTATTGCATGGAACGTGCTAACACTAAAAATGTACTGCTTTTATCTGAAATTCAAATGTAGTGGGTGTCCTGTATTTTACCCTGCTACCATACTCCTGGGGGACTGCCGGGAAGAGTTCCCTGGATACGTTCTTCCAGACCGTAAAGGCCTCTCACAAATTTTGGCGGTGTGGCCAGAACGCTGCTGTACTGAGGGCAGAACTAACCCTCACCAGGGAAGGCTGTCTGGATGGGGCAGGGTGGGTTGTCCTCACAGCCAGGGTAGGAAGGAAGGTTAATGGGGGAGCCACTCCAGCAGGGTCAGGCTGGCCTGGGGGCAGAGGGGAGGCCTGTTAGGCAGAGAGGGCTGCTTGGGGATCCCTGGCCACATGCACGGATAAGCCAGCCCCCGGCCTCCCTCCTCCGTGGAGGCAGCTGAGAGGTGCAGGGACAGGGCACCAAACACAGCAGACACCCAGCTCCCTTTTGCGAGTGTGGGGGTGGCTGCAGCCTCGTGGTGACGAAGCCGTGGTCCTCAGCCTGTGCCCCCGTCACAGGGAGGCCACAGCTCCATGGCCGGGCTGCCCCGGCTCCGGCTCAGCAGGGCCGGGCAGCCTGGAGGATGGTGACCCTGTGCTCCTTGGGAACCACACTGCGAGCTGCTCTGAAGCTGTGCTTCCCAAGCCACAGGTGCACCCTTCCTGGGGCTGCGGGAAGATGCAGACGCCCACCATCTCCTTGTGTCTGGGAGGGTTTGAGGCTCCACAAGGTCACAACTCCAAGGAGATGCGGTGGGAGCTGGGAGAGGCCAGGCTCTCAGGAACGGCTTCTCCAGTCATGCTGCACATCAGTCAGCTCCCCAGCCCCACTCCAGACCAGTCCGATCAGCACTTCCTGGGTGGGATGGGACCCAGGCATTTGTAGGTTTAAATCCCCGTGATGCCAGTGGGGAGCTGAAAAGGGTCCTACGCCAGTGGCTTGTGGGGCACATGCAGACATTCCTACTCCCGTGAGTGGCCTCACTGCTTCTCAAGTCTGAGGCTGATTGGAAAGGAAGTGCTGTTAGAGCTCTGACATCTGTGGCTGAAGATGGAAGTGGTTGAGGTATTAAAATGCCACAGGAGACCTGAAGAGATGGAGCCTGATGTCGGCCTTTCGTCACCTGTGACATGGGGACACCATGGTGCTACGTCCCAGCATCACGTAAAGTGCCAGGCCGCTTAGTGCACCCGATTTAAATATCTGTACCCCTGGTCATCACTATGACCAACCAGCCACCCGCCGGATGTTTCTCTTGGTCCTCAGTGTCCCTCTGGCCACCATGGGTGCCAGGCCACGTCGCAACTAGCCTGTGGGAGGAGGACCTGTGTTGTGGCAGCTGGAGGCGGGGAGGCTCTCCCTGCCACTGAGCTGGTGTGTTTCTTCTCATAGGTTCCAGTCACCAGCCCTGGTCACCCCTTCGGCACGCCCTCTGGTGTGTTCACACCCAGGTCTCAGGGCCAGTCTCCCGGGTGCAGGGCAGGTGGCTCACCTTCCTGGTCTCGGAAACAGCCCTCTCTTCATAGAGACAGCCCGAGCAGGCTTGCTGGAGGGGAAGGCTGGAGGCTTGCTCTCCTGTCTGTTTGCCACACGAGGCACCACAAGGGCTGCTGTTGACCTTGTGCAACCGGCTTCTTACTGATCGAAGTGTAAAATCGTGCCCGCTCTCATCTTACCTTGCTGATCTGCCCGTTTCTCTGCCTGATGAAGTGTTTTTCCAAATCCTGAGCCTGGTCTTCAGTATCATCACTCTCTCCCCGCTCTGCGACATAAACATTTTTTCATAAATACTCATCCTTTGTAGCTTTAGTCAAGTTCCTAATTACAATGTTGAACGGATGGGGCCAAAAGGCAAGCTTTGCTGCGAGAGCCCAGAAACGCCCCCCAGCTTGATGTGGGCCTTTAATGAGCATCGGTCAAGTGCTCACACGCCCACCAGCCATACGGACGTCCGGGTCCTAGTTTTCCACTTTGCCCAGACACAGGTCATGAAAGGCCACGTTCAGTTCTTTGTTACAGCTCAGATACCTGCCTGCTGCGCTCTTCTAACCCACCTGATTTTACAAAACTGGGCATGAACATCGTCTGACACGGTCTGTTCCCAGGAAACCAGGCTGGCTTCCATGTTATCTGCTGCTTCCTTCCGACTCGCTCTGAAACGACGGCCAGGACTAAAGTCAAGGTCACTGGGCTGCCGCGTCCTCCCCAGTGCTGGGGGGATGCCTGCCTCCCATACGCCCCGTTGCTTAGTTTTCAGTAAAATGTGACAGTGACTCAGCAGTCGCACGGGTGAACACCCTGGTTTCCTCTTGGGGCGAGACGTGTTCAGAGTTGCTAGTTTCTTCATCGTAACACCTTAATGTGCCCTGCGTCTTAAGCTTCCTCCTGTGAGCATTCATCTTTTAGAAATGACCTCTATAGTTTCCTTTGGTTCAAATACTATTAATTGTGCAACAAACAATATGACAAGACACACAAAACTCGCAGCTCCAGAGGACAACCGGGCAAGGAGCACTGGAGTTTTGTTTTGGATTTTTTTCTGAGATATAACCGGCGTATTACGTATTAGTTTCAGGTGTGCAACCTGATTCAGTATTTGCACAAGAGGATTCACATTTGAGGGAGTTTGGGTGGAAGCCTGGGAGCGCCCGCCCCCCAGCCGTCTGTCCCCGAGGGATTCACACCTCAGAGCGGCTGGTTTGGTCTCTGCAGGACAAAGTTCTCATTTATGTTGAGGAAGAGAGAACCAGCAGCCTTGCTTCAGAAAGCTCCCACCCCCAACATAAGACATCCTCTCCAATATTCAGAAGGTAAGTGATTGGGCTGGAATTTGATTTTTTTTCGTTTTCCAAGTCAGCAGATGTGATTTTTGACATCAAGTTTGGTTTGGAGAGCACAAATGCACACAGTAGGCCCCATAAAGTGGTGATGGGTGATGTGCGTCAGGGCAGTGCCGGACCCCCCGCCCCTCTGCCTTGGTGAGAAGTGCTGGCGTGGATGGGACACACGTGGATGGGACGCATGTGGATTCGAAAGCCCCAGCCCTCCCTCCGCGGGGCCCCGATGAAGGCAGCAGGCTTCAGGGGCGCACGGAGGTGTCGCCCAGCTGAACAAACTGGCTTTCTTGCCACCTCATCCGCAGCCAAAGCTCCCTCGGCCGGGCCTGTCGGTGGCTTTTCCCGGGAAGGGGTGCACTGGGCTGTGCTCAGTCTGAAAGGCACCGCTCTCGCTGCTTAAAGAAGGAAATGAAACGTTCCCTCAAACGATTGAAATTTGTTGGATTTATTTCTTTCTGAAGTTTGTACATTTACATATATCATATACAGGTGTTAAATCCTTCACTGTTTTGCATGATTTCTCTGACATAAAAACCATCTAAATGCAATAAAGGTTGTTGCTGTCAAACAACAAATTAGCCCCAACTTATAAAAACACAGGAACAGTTATATCCAGGAACACGTACGCGGTAGAGAAATGTATCTATAGGTCGCAGCTTCTACGCACGGCAGACGACTCACTGTCCACACCGGTTCGCTCTACTTGAATGGCAGAGAGATGGGGGAGTATTTATGTACATCTATTTCCAGAAAAAATAAAGCAACTGTAGAATGTAAACTGAATTTCCAAAATATTCTTTAAACACGTTAACAACATCCACATAAATCACTGTTCCATTCCCAAGGCGGCCACCGCAGACGCCGTCCTTTCCGGGAGACGGCCCTTCCTTGGGAGGCCGGTGGGCGGGGAGGTGCGGGTTCCCAGCACAGGGACAGTACCGTTAGCTCCTCCAGGTCCGCTAATGCTGAGTGTGGCCACGGAGAAGGAGCAGTCTGCTATCTGATCGCTAACCACGTGCACAATTTGCAGGGACACATGGCACCAGGGCTGCAGGGAAACGGAAGGGATTGGTGCAGAAAACTCTGCAGGCAGAGGGGCGTGCCACTCTGCCAAAGTGTTTGAACCCCGGTTAACAGGCTGGAACCGTGAGAGGCTGGCTTTATGGTAAAGAAGGCAAAGCATTGCCCTTCTGCCTGCCTGTCCTCAAGGCCGACGGCAGGGAGACCACCCTTCCCTGCTTACGGCTCAACACGCCAGCTCTTTTCTTGCAAAGACAAAACACAGGGTGTTGGCTTCATCGGGGCGTTTTCTTCGTACCTTTATTACGTGTCCCTGCCAGTGACTCAGTCCCCCTCTGCAGGCTTGGCCCATGAGGACAGCTGGGTTCCTGCAGCCCAGGAAGGAGCACGTGGACCAGACCAGCTGTGCTCGTGGCTCCAGGAGGGGGGCGGGGAAGAGAGACAAGGCCCCATCTCTGGGGTGCCAGAGGGGAGCCCCGGCCTGCGGTGCGGTCCCGAGCTGAGCTTCGTGCTGGGCTCCTTGGGGGTGTCCCAGCCTCAGTGGGACTCCGAATTCCTTCTTGGAAGCAACACTTCAGGATCTGAAGTTAAGGTGCTTATTTTTCTCACTCTGCTCGTGAAGGCTCAGTACTCCGCCCAGCGAAGGGACACCTGCCCTCACTCCCCATCTCCAGCCCCACAGCCCAGCGCATCAGCAGGTCATACCACGGCCCCCTCCCGGTGCAGCTCTCACATAACTGACAACAGCCACTGTGCACACGGTGCGAGCGTATGCACGCGCTCCGGAGGCCCGGACGTGTGCCTGTCCCCGCACACACCGAGGGGACAGTAAACTGGTCCTGGGGCTCTCAGGAGCAGACCGGCCATCCGCCGTCCCCCTCGGGTGGAAGCTCAGTGCCTCACACGCTGCCCCGCACCCCCCACTTCAGTTGGTCTAATTCCTTTCGTTCCTACAATTTCAGAAAGTCTCCTGGTGGCATTAAAAGTCAATGTGCATATATACTTTCCACCAAGTAGGTACCATCCAGGCCAAATGGTTACTTGGCTTTCTATGAAAAGTCCAAACATTTCAAATAACGAAGGCCCCAAAGTAAACTTTTTGATGTTTGGTACTCCTTTTGTAGACAATTTCCGAATCAGATGGAGGTTTTTGCAAATCACTACAGTTCTTAGAAGGAAACACACTCTTGTGGAACGAAGACCTTGCTGGACAGCCACAAAGCCAGCGCACCGCACGCCAACGAGGGTTAGGACGTAGGATACATTTGCAAAAATAATTTGAGACTCTAGAGTTCATTTAAAAACTTCAAGTGTCGCGACCACCACTCCTGCAGCCTGGGGCGGGGACGAGCCTCGCGCCCCACAACGCGGCCCCCCCGAGTGGGACACAGGAGCGCCAGGCGGTGTTCAGACACATACACCGCCCTCAACAACTCACTCACACGCACTCAGCTCTGCTGTAAATACACCAACATGCTGGGTAATAAAATTTTAATCTCTAGTTATCTATGTATACACTGTATGGTAAGCGGCAAGCTCAGACAGCTAAGGCCAGTGGGTCTTCTTTGGGGAGAGGCAGGAAGAGAGATCTAAGTATAAAAATATTAAAGTTTCAAGCTGGTCCATAGCCTGTCCTAAACTTCTTTCACCTGTGATGAGACGCTGATTCGTGCGACGGAACCCCGTCCTGGGGAGCCCCGAGCGACTCCAGTGGCTGGAGCATTTCCCGAGGTGCAGAGGCGAGGACGTGGTGCTCGGAGTGGTCTGAGCTACTGTGAAAACGGACGCGGTGTGTAGGTGACACCTGCCACTCACTGCGCTCTTCTGAAAGCTGTTTTTCTGGACTAATTACAACAATAAAGAACGTGTGCTTTACAGCATCACATTTTGTAAGAAGCCCCAAACTGCCAGTTTGACTTTAAGTGCTTTAATACTGCAATTGCTAAGAAAGCTCAGGCTGTGTGTGTGTTTCTTTCTGTAAAGCGAAGTTATAATGAGCTACCCCCTTGGTACTGCACACAGTACGCTGAGCTAGTTCAACAGTTAGTTCAGAGTCATATTTGCCCTGGTGATTCAAAGCTCAAAGACTAAATTTTCTAGCATAAAATCTTATTATTAAAAAAATTAATCAAAATATCCTTTGACTTTAAGTGTAATAAAACAGTACCACTATACAGACTCTCAAAAACTGCATTATACACTCAGTCCTGTGAGGTTTTTACTTGCTTTCCATTCACACTGGTTACGGACACATACATTTGACATACACACACTGTACACTGATGTACAATCTACACACGGACACACAGGTACACACACAATTACAAACACCCACTAGGACACTGGCGGGTGACAAGAAGCGTATTCTTTGCTGTTGACAGACGATCTACGTGAATATTCTCCAAAAGCCTGCGATGTTACAGATACACACGTAAATTACAAAGGAAGAGCCACAGAGACTTAGGGAACCCTACTGCATATACGACTTAACCTGCAGTATTTTCTTGCTGCTGCATTCTGGTCTGTAAACCGTCACGCGGATTCAAGTCTTTAGGACACTCGCTTTCTGAAGACACCCCCTGCAGGCACTGGCCTGTCACTGTCCAGGGCAGAGGACACCCACCTGGGCACAAAAGGAAAATGGCGATGGCTTTGGACCGAGTCCTCCTTGTGAGACTGAGACCCTGGGAAGCGCTCCGTCGCTGCTGGGGTTATTCTGTGGTGCAAGAGTGGCCGCTAAAGGCCTCTGGATGGGATGGCAGAAGATGTCAAAGGCCGATGGAGACACCTGTTGCCCCGGGCAGGCTGATGGCCTGGGAGGAGAGACAGCCAGAGAGCTGTGGAGCCAGGAAGGCCCAGACGCTTCTCTACCTACAGAGCTGACTGGTCTTTGTCTGTTGGAGCAGATGCTGTGGGAAACTTAAACCCAAAGCCACGATGGCCGCTCACTGGGCCCAACGCTCAACACGTCCGGGGAGCCACTTTGGTTCCGGTTTAACGGCGCTCCTCCTACGGCTGCAACACCCTGCTGACGGCAAAGTGAAGCGGTCGGGGATCGCCCACTCCTGAAGTGAAGGACGCTGGCCGCCAACCTGCTGAAAACTTGCTCCGGGCCCCCGACAGCTAAACTACAGAGATCGGGGCCTGCGAGCCCGAGACACAACCTGAGAACTCAGGCTGAGAGAGCCTGACTGATGACTCCAAGGAAAACTGCCAGAGAATGCGATTCCAATGACTACTAACTAAACCCACGAGAGTCCTGAGGGTGAGACCAAGGAGAAACCTCTTAAATGTCAGTTTTCTTCCAACTGACTGGGATTAGGGATAAAGGCGGAGAAGAGGTACAGCTCAGGGTCAAGCAGGCCCCGCCTCCGTAAGGATGACCTCCTGGCTCTTTCCAGGATGCTGGGGACAGCAGGCCAGGCCTGCACAAGGCTCCTTCCCTGCTGGGTGTGTAAACGCTTATCAGTTCTGTGCTTTGGCCGCAGGGAGACCACTACCCCTAGCTTGGCCCCGGAAAGCCAGCCAAGTTCTCTCTCCCGGAATGAAGTCCCTCGCATCACGTCTGACTAGGAGCAGTCCTCACCGTCAGGATGGAACACAGAGGGTCCTGCACTGCTGACCCCGCCCTCTCTACCTGAGGGCCATGGGAGAGGTTCCCGGGATCCGGGACTGCAGATCCATGGGGGACACCCCCACGCGCTGCTTTTGCTGAGATCAATTAAAATGTGCAGAAGTACTGCTTGGTTTAATCAGGCATTGCTAAGAGTCAGCAAATGATGTTTCTAAATAGCGTGCTTCAAATAATGTCTATGGCTGGCAACAAAATAAGGACTCTGCATGCTGGTAATTAAGTTTTGATTGTGAGCAAGGAATTCCTGACACCTCCTGCAAATGCCACAACATGTGCGGTGAGGGAACCAGCCCCAAAACCCTTCAATTTCATCCACAGGCCACTTCTTTGGGCAGTTCTGCAACAAGAGATCACCAAGATACTGTGACGACTCTCCAGATTTTCTGTGCTAAGAATTAAGTGTGTCTATGTGATGAGGAACAAGGACTTATCGGACGGAGAGGCATGTCAGGCCCCTGGCGCTGAGGTCTGGGTAAAGGGTGGGGGGCAGTACCTCCAGGAGGAAAGGAGCGGAGGGCTCCCCTGTACCGTGAGCTGGGCAGCAGCCTCGCAGAAGCTGAGAAAGGGAAGGAATGTCTTCAGTGTCTCCTGATGAGATACCACGGGAAAAAGATGATCACAAAAGAAAACATGACTGACTACGGGCAAGAGCCTCAGAATCTCGTCAGGTGGGGGGCCTGCCTCGGGCAGGATGAGCTCCTGGCCTGCTGGGGTGCCGACACCAGACAGTACGGAGGCCTCGGGGGGAGGGGTCCCAGCCCAGCCCCTAGAGGCGGGCCGACAACGTTGCGCCAGGGCAGCGTGGGGTCCCGGCTCGCAAACCACCTCTGCAGCTGGTCTTCCAGGTAAACTCTGCGAACGCTCTGTATGCACCCCAGCTCCACACGTGCCCTCCTCACCAGCAGCTACCAGCACGCCCGGAAGTTCCCGGACACGGCACTGGGGAGCCCTGCGACAAGCACGACGCGGCCGTGGGGCTGGGGCTGAGCGGGCGCCGCAGAGCTACCCCAAGGCCCAAACGCTGCGGCAAGGACCGCCCCACGGGAAGCACAAACTCTGAGCGAGACACACGACGCTGCACGCACGGACACACGCGACTGTGAGCACACGCGTTCAAGCCAGCCAGGGACACTTGTTCCTTGGTTCTGATGCTCAGGGATGACACGGTCTCGGCACCTCCTTCCCCTCAGGAGAGAGATCTGGGCAGAAAACACGAGGCCGGCGATTCAGACTCTAGAAAGGCAGATGACGCCCTTGCAGAAATCCTGGGTTCAGTCAGAAGCCACAAAAGGGACTCAGGTCCACAGGCCATGGTGGTAACCACCCTGTTTCTTTCTAGGCTTTGAAACAAATGTAATCACTGCCCTTACCTAAACAAGACAGAGGGCGAGAGGGAGTTTTCTGAAGGTGTGGCAAACCCAGTTCCCACGAGCCAGCAGCTGCACCCTTACGAGGGGTTTCTCTTTTCTGGGCACCAGCAAATGTGGGCATTGACGCAGCTGAAGGAAGCACAGCCCTGTGCAAACGCTGGCGCATCAGAACAAAATACCGCTAGAAAGCACCAGGGGGCGAGCGCGGGCTTCCCAGACCCCCCACCCCCACCCCCTGGCACCACGCTGCCCACGCACGCAGGGCCCCTGATTCTTTGGTCAGAGTACCTGAACTAGTAGCTGAGTGGAACGCGAGTGAGCTTCTATGGGACAGAAAAGGATGTCCAGAGGGACTGCGTTAGTTATGAAGTGGTGCAGGTTATAGGTTTAAGGAGCACAAAGTTTCAAGGTTTTAAAATCAGAAAACTCGAGCTCGCAATGGGCTCAGTTTTCACCCCCTGCCCTTCGTCAGTGAGAGAACGTTCTGTTTATCACCTGAATTTTAAAGGGACCGTCCCTGGGCCAAGCTTGTGACTGTTCTGAGCAAATACAAAGACGGAATTTAAGACGAAGGGTTGACTTTAGGGGGAAGCTCGGTCACAGCAGAAGGAAGAGGCGGTGGAAGGGACGGACCGAGATGAGCAGACAAGGCGGCTCTGCTGGTGCCACCGGGAGGCTCGTCACTTTTCCTTGATTCAGATACATTTCAAAGCATCACTATTCCATTGCCAAACAACTACAGGCAAAAACTACTTTTTCCTTTCTTTAAGTTTTGCCTGGATTAAGGGAAGAATGAAAGAGGTTCCATTTCAAAAGTATTTTGTTAGGAAGACCCTAAGAGTCTCACAACCAGGAGACAACACGGTGCCCACAGACAGAGGAACCTAACTCCCAGCGGCAGGGTATTGAGGGCAGACGGTTCTGGTTCCTTGCCCTGCGGGAGTGGGAGGACGTACTTCCTGCAGACCAAAGACATGCCTGCTGCTGCAGCTCCCGGAAGAGTCTGCCACTATCCCTTAGAAAACAGAACGAGCTCGCGGTCACCCTCCCTCAGCCTTCAATGGCAAAGGGCTCCACTTCCTCCTCCTGACTGGCTGGGGTGGAATCGGCGCTCAGGCAAGGAACGTGCCTCCTACATTCTCGGCCCCGAGGTCCTTGCGCCCTTCCCCTGCTCCCAGCAGGCAGGGCCTCAACACGAAGTGATCAGACGCGCACCCAGTGGCACGTCACCAAGGGACATCCCGATCCCTCGCGCTCTTAACTGAACTTCTGCGCGTGCTCGATTCCACCTCTGTGACTGAGCGAGAGTTCACATAAAAAAGGCTTATATTAACTCTGGCTAGAAGTTTCTAAACTACAAAGGTTGTCCAGTTAAGTGTTTCACAATGGATTAAATTTTTAACCTTAAAAAAAAATGTAACAGCTGATTGAGAACACACAGAAACAACTGGGCAGAAAACCAGGGGAGGAGTGGGACAGAACTCACTCCGGAATCATGGTCCCCCCCCCATGAAAGGTGCATTAGTTACCAAGGAGCAAAAATCATCAAAGCAAAGAAATCAAGAGCAAAGAGACAATCTGTACAGAAACTAACAAAAATATACAATAGAAAAGGTTCCTAATGCACCTTTAGTCACAGACTTTTTTTTTTTTAAATATATTCACGGATTTACCAGAAAGATCTTGAAAAGCTCTGTTTTGCTCCACGACCAGCGCTTCCTGGCCGCAGGTGGACTCTAAGTAACTTTTTGCTTAATGCCCGGCGTTTCAGGTCGGTGGTCCTTCCTCTCTGACACGTTCCGCTTGACCTTGGCCGTGACCGGGGACGAATCTGGGTTCAGCGAGGGACTGGAGTGTGACTTCTTCAGGCCTGCGGGGCCCCCCCCGCTGCTATTCAGGAGCTCCACGCCTCCCTCTTTCAGGACACGGACGTACGTTTCATAGCGGGTTTTCTGTGGGGAGTCAGAGAAGAGGGGGTCAGTACCCTGTTCACAAAGGCACAGTGAGTGCGCCCGGCCTGTCCCCGTCCCGTAGGCTGGACCTCATTCCCCAGAGTGGACACAGGGACAGGAGACCAACTGATGGGCTCATTTACTGGGTAAGAAATGACAGACTTTCAGTTCTCCTTTGTTCGGAAGGAACGTCAGCTCGGAGTTATCGGCTACCAGAGGGAGGAAGGACGCTCCCTGCACGCTCAGCACGAGGAAGTAGGAGCTGGGAGAGCCACGGCCTCTGGTCTGGGGACCGGACGGCTCTCCGGGCGCAGGCTCCTGGGAGCCTCCCTCCCTCGTGAGGCCACGGCCTCACCAGAGCATGGCTGGGACGCGGCTCGAGGAAGCAGTTCATGGTGAACCCATACTCCTGTACCCTGCAATGCTTCCTAGAAGCTGCTCTGGGCATCCTGCCACGGCTTTTCTGCTAGGATCACCGACTTCCCAGAGCACTGCAGTTTCTTGCAAAAATTCAGATTATTTTCTGATGCTTTTTCTCATTCTACAATTTTTTTTTAAATTAACTGTGTGTTGAGTGTCTACTGTGTCTTCAGCAGCACCTTGATTCGAACGCTGTAGACGTTTTCTTTTTTCCTCTAACCGTAATTGGTGCTGGCTTTTTTTTTAAGTTTCTATCCACGTCACCATATAGAACTATTAAATATCTATGACAAATGACAGAAGGGCTTCAGATTCTTGATTTGATAGATTCTGGTCCAAATAAGTCTTTCAACAAACTGCTTCACACATGGAGCGTTTATAGAAGGCCTAAAGTGCTTTATTTCTAAACAAAAGAGCACACCACTATAAACTGTCCCAATGAAGACAGGTGAAGCCTGCTGTGACCATAGACCTTTCAAGGGTTCTTCTGGCCAGGTTGAAATTTTATATATGTCAGCGTTCAGTCAGTAATCATGAAGCTGAAGCTACTCTTTTAAGCTTTTTGTTTAAAAGTAGGGAGAAGCTGCTAGTGACTGCGCTCGCTCTGGGTGTGATGCACGCACACGTGGGTGCCAAGCTCGGGCTGACGGTGATGACAACACTCGTGGGGGGCCCACACGCTAAACTCAGGCCATTAATACCGCAACCACAGGGACCTGGCACCTTACTGACCTTCTTTTACAGTAAAGAGAGGCAGAGGTAAGTCCAGAGTCAGCGTCAGCAGAGAAGTGAAGCTGCGATTTGAACTCAGGAGGTCTGACTCTGGGGCCCACACTCTTAAGCTCTACCTCCCTCCCGGGATATGAAAAAGCATGCATGTGAGTGTGTATTTCAGGGTGACCACTCTGACACACACCGGCTGTCTGGCCCATCAAGAGCCATTCTAAACCCCTCTCTTCTCCTAGGTTCCTCTCACTGCAAAGGCCGCTAAAACCCAAACGCTTACTTTCCCAGACCCTCCTGCATCTCAGATGGGCCCCGTGGTGGTTTGGCCAATGAGATGTAAGGAGAACTCTCCTGGGGCTGGGGGGGCACTTCTGGGAAAGCACTTTTCCTTTCTGATACGAAGGGCAGGCTTCAGAGGAGAAGCCACTGGTGCTGGCCCCTCACTCTTGCTCCTCCCTTGACCTGGATGTGGTTCCCAGAGCTGCGCCCGTTGACAGGGGCAGCAGGCACGAGGGCAAAAGGACAACATGCAAGGCCTGAGGGAAAAACACAGAGATCAAAAGAGGATGGGTTTGCGATGACACAATGAGCTGGATCCAACTCCAGGATCCCCTCCTGCCTCTAACTATCTTGCTAAGTATGAACAATACACATCCTGAGGGCTGAAGCCACTGTTCCTCAGGAATTGTTTTTTCCCCACGTTTTTCCTCCAGTTTCACTGGGATATAATTGACGCACAGCACTGTGTCAGTTTAAGGCATACGGCAAATGATCTGCCTTGCACATGTCATGAAAGAATTATCACAAAAAGTTTGGTGACTATCCAACACCTCATATAGGCACAAAACTAAAGACACACAAAAAACGTTTTTCCTTGTGATGGGAACTCTTAGGATTTACTCTCTCAAAACTTTCATATGTAACATACAACACCATTAATTACATTTATCACGTTGCACGTTACATCCCTAGGATTTATTTATAACTGAAGTCTGCACCTTTGACCGCCTTCCTCCAATCCCCTCCCCACCCCCACCTCTGGCAACCACACGTCTGGTCTTTTTCACTGTGAGTTTATTTATTCATTTGTTTGTTTCTGATGTATAACTGACCTACAACACTGTTAGTTCCTGTTACACAACATAGTGATTCAATAGTTCTATACATTTCAAATTGATCACCACGGTGAGTCTAATTATGACCTGTCACCACACAATGACGCTACATAATTACTAACTGTATGCCCCACACTGCACATTTCCTGCCCCTAACTCCTCTGTTCTGCAGCTGGAAGTTTGTACCTTTCCATCTTCCTCACCAGGCCCTCTCCTCCCCTACCCCCTCCCCTCTGGCCACCACCTGTGTGTCTATGACTCTGTTTCTGTTTTGTTATGTTTGTTCATTTGTTTTCTTAGATTCCACACGTAAGTGAAATACAGCGTTTGTCTTTCTCTGAGCATAATACCCTTTGCCAATGGCAAGATTTCATTGTTTTTTATGACTGAGTGGTATTCCACATACACCACATCTTCTTTATCCATTTATCGATTGATGGACACCTGGGCTGCTCCTATATCTTGGCTATTGTAAATAATGCTGCTATGAATACTGGGGTGCATGTGTCTTTTCGAACTTTTCTTTGGATATTTACTGAGAAATGGAATTGCTGGATCATACAGGTAGCTGTATTTTTAGTTTTTTGAGGGACCTCTGTACTGCTGTCCACAGAGGCTGCACCAATTTTTTTTTTATCAAAGTTTGGTTGATTTACAACGTTGTGTTAGTTTCAGGTGTACAGCAAAGTTACTCAGTTTTCTATGTATATGAAAGAACACACCAGTATAAACTGCCAACGAAGACAGGCGAAGTCTTCCAATATATATAAATTCTTCTGTCAGATTCTTTTCCGTTACAGGTTATTATATAATATTGAATACAGTTCCCTGTGCTCTACAGTAGATCCTTGTTTATCTGTTGTATATAGAGTAGTGTGTACCTGTTAATCTCAAACTCCTAATTTATCCCACCCCCCAACTCCACTGCACCAACTGACATTCCACCAACAGTGTAGGAGGGCTCCCTTTCCCCCACATCCTCGCCAACATGTGTTATTTGTGTTCTTTTTGACGGCAGCCATCCTGACAGGTGGGAGCTGCTCTCTCAGTGTTTCCCTGATGATGAGTGATGCTGAGCAGCTTTTCTTGTGCACCAGGTAGTGGTAACTGCAGATGAAAGCATCACTAATTGGTACACATTCCAATTTTAATAAAGAAGTTAGCACAGTAAAATAATAAAAACTAAGCTTTTTTTCAGACAGCTACATAAGGGTTTAATGCGGACATATGCTAATAAAAAATATGTCATCAGTGTTACACAGTAGCCCGTGCATCAGTGAAATCTAAGATCCTATTCATTCTAGGAATTTAGAGACTTAATCTATCTCTAAACCGCCTGGGTGGCAAGATTAAAATGCAGGAAAGGACTACTCTCAATACGAACAAGGTTTAGTAAAATGATCTAAAGGCAACTTCAGGACAGATTCAGAAACCCAATGTAAGGCACATGTTTCATGAAGCTGGGGGCATTTATACGATAAAGGGGCCATGAAAGACAATTCTTTGAGATGACCTGAAAGGGGACAAAAGGAGACAAGGTGACGGGGCCTGTTTTCTTCTAGTTTTTGAAGAAACTGACACTACTGAGGAAATTCACCTAAAAAATACCTGAAGAAAAGCCTTCATCCACTCATTCCACAGCTCCAGATGCAAAGGTGTTTTCCCCAGTAAATTACAGTAAAAAAAACATGTGCCTTACATTGGGTTTCTGAATCTGTCCTGAAGTTGCCTTTAGATCATTTTACTAAACCTTGTTCGTATTGAGAGTACATCAGTGTGTCAATCAACAAACAAAAGGCGCAGCACAGAGGAGTGGCAGTACCTGAGTCACCAGATGAGAAGAAAAGACAAACCAAAGCAAAGGGTGGAAGTGGGGCAGAAACCAGGGCTGCTTGGTTGTTGAGAGAAATAAGGAAAAAGCAACGGGGGGTTGGCTCAGGAACTTCCAAATGGCTGTGCCCTATTTCTGAGTTAAAAAGGCTTACAGGGACAGAGGCGACTAAACCCAGTCATACAGCTTTGCTTTCTACCATTCTCTGCAGCCAGGCCAAATGCCTCTTCAAAATCCTTCAGGTAAACATCTTTAATCTCAGGGCTGTCTGGGACAACTGGACAGGCACTAACCCCTGTCCTTCCGGGATTACAGACTCATCCAAGTATGTAAAGCTCTGCTCCGGGGCTTTGGGGCCAAATGCACACTGCCTCTGAGCAGAGGCAAGCGGCCCTGAACGGAGCCCTGAGGGGCAGAGCAGGGAGCACCGCTCTCCAAGTCCCTTCCCCGCGACGTCCCCTGGCTTCTCCCTTGGGGGGGCAAGTGAGACTTCTTCCTAACTCTGCAGCCACACGGGATCTCGGGAGGTGTTCCGTCCTTTCTTCCTTTCAGGGAAGGAAGATTCTTATTCTTTTTTCTAGGCCCACTCTTGAAATTTAAGTTTTAAGTTAGAGCTGGTGTGTATCAAAAAGCAAACAACAGCAGTGAGTGTCTTGGTCACTTGTAAAGACCTGCTGTGCAGGGCGGAGACTGAGAACCTGAGGACCATGGTCCAGGCTGGGTCAACCTCAGCCAAAGAAGCCGGCAGGGATGGAGCAGCTAATGCCGTTGGCTGCTCTCCTGGCAGCCTCCTCTTACAGAGAACGGAGCTGTGGTTCCTGCTGAGAATGGCAGTGTCCCAGCCCCAGGAGAGGAACCGTGGTCTAACCCAGATGTGACAACCCTCACCCCCCTGCCAGGCGCCCTGGCAGCCGCATGGCCTAGACCCGGCCAATAGCACGCAAAGAGAGCTAACCAGGGTGCTTCCACGGAAGCAGATGAAACAGTGGAGCCTTGGCAGGCATTCTGGAATTTGAAACCACGAAATGACAAGCATGGAAACAAAAAAGCCCATGTGCCAAAGACAGCAAGTGAGAACTGCAGGAAGATCATTCAGCCTCGGTGGCAGGTCTCAGTGAGCCCGCGACCAACTACTTCCAGTTTTCCTAAGTGACATGAAGAATGTTTACATTGTTTAAACATTTAGTCAAGTTTTCTGTTATTTGCAGACTTAATAAAATGGTTAACATTCAGCTTTGACTCACTCACAAAAAAAATTCCAACTGACCACAACAGTGGCTTAATTTCTAAAATACACTAACAGCTCATACAACTCAACAACAACAAAAAACCCAAAAAAACCCAATCAAAAAATGGGCAGAAGACCTAAACAGGCATTTCTCCAAGGAGACATACAGATGGACAACAGGCACATGAAAAGATGCTCAGTATCACTAATTATCAGAGAAATGCAAATCAGAACTACAAGGAGGTATCACCTCACTCCAGTGAGAATGGCATCATCAAAAAGTCTACAAATAATAAATGCTGGAGAGGATGTGCAGAAAAGGGAACCCTCCTACACTGTTGGTCAGAATGTAAACTGGTGCAGCCACTATGGAGAATAGTATGGAGGTTCCTTAAGAAACTAAAAATTGACTTATGCCATGATCCAGCAATCCCACTCCTGGGCATATATATGGAGGAAACTCTAATTCCAAGAGATACATGCACCCCAATGTTCACAGAAGCACTATATACAATAGCCAAGACATGGAAGTAAACTAACTGTCCATCAACAATTGAACAGATAAAGAAGATACGGTATATATATCCAAGGGAATACTACTCAGCCATGAAAAAGAATAATGTCATTTGCAGCAACATGGATGGACCTAGAGATGATCATACTAAGTGAAGTAAGTCAAGTGAACATTGGGTGAGTGTATGAATGGGAAGAAGAAACAAATAGGAGAAAACAAAATTTCTCATAGCTAATAGAAAACATATTTTGAACTCTCAGAATGGCAAATTCAAGAAAAATGAGAACAGACATAGATGCAGAGGGAAATGCCTCATGAGAACCTCCATCAGTAGCCTCTGGGGACACGCTTTCATCTCGTGTTGCACATTCCCATGTTTTCTACAAAAATGCTGAGGTCTCACCCTGACGGGTACACACAGCAGAGACTCTGTGTCCTCCGTGTCCACGTGCCCTGACCATGGCTGGCAAGACTCCACATGCGGCAAACCCTGCAGAGTGCGCTGGGGGTGGGCTGCATGCGTAGGACTGGGCTCTCTACACCCAGAAAGAAACGGAGTTGATCCTTCACTTCTGAGGTTCATAAAACAGAGACACGTTTTCTGAGCCTCTCTTATGTGGCAGGACATGAAGACCCACTTGGAGCTTTAAAAAAGTGAGAAACTGGACCATCGTATGTGGAGCATGGTGATTCTCCATTCGGACAGTGCCTAGATCTCACTGTGACGTGATAGGTGGCCTCTCAACTTACTTCTAACAGAAGCATCCACCGAAGGTAAGTCCACGGTTATTTATATCTGAATTCTTGCGCCCGATGCCCCAGCGTGTGACTCCCAAGGAGGCACCAGGACCACACCTTCCCTCGGGTGAGTACCTCTACACCAACCTGGTGTCTTGGTTCCAGGGTCAGAGCAGTGACCTGGGAGGGAACCTGCTCCTGACACTAAACAAGTAAATAATAATAATACGGAAGGTTATACCCTTGCTCTGATAGGTCTGACATTGCTCTGATGACAATGCTAATAACCAGATGGTAAAAAGGGCAGAAGAAACAATCAAAAGCTACATGTTTGAATTAATATAATTTCATGCCACAAGGCAATCGCCATGCAAGAATTAACATGGCTTCAGATAGAGCGCATTAAGAAGAAGATGGGCTGGAAAAAATGCATCTCGGAGAAGCAATGCGGCAGTGAAAGAGCTGTCTTGGGCCACGTGGCCACTGACTAATAAGAGCAGCATTGATTTATTTTCCTAAGTTGTCGTTAGTCTCCATCACGTGGTGTCCTTCCAGGGGTGTCCTTCATCGGGGAGGGTGAAGGGAGTCTGAGCAGAGACGTGCCTTGGGCACAACTGCTGCCTTGGTCACGTTATTCAAGGTTTTGTCCCAGTCTCCGCAGATTCATTCTCAGATCAATTCTTAGAAATTTCAGAGCTGTAGGCCCTGCTTCTCGGCTCAGGAATTCTCCAGCAGTGTGAACAGACTTCTAGTGATGTCACCGTAAGATCTAATTCCACCATCAGAAAAACTGGAGATGAGATTTGACCAAATCCAAGTCCAGGGGCTACTCTGCAGAGAAGCGCCTGAACTTTGTCTGGGGCTGTCCATTCAGCACGCTCTAAGAACAATGTCCTTCTGAGGATTTGCTATTTCCATGAAGCCTTCTGTAACCACCCAAAGCCAAAAACAATCCAAATGCTCAATGGCTTTTTTTTCTTAAACTAAAATCAAGTTCTTCACTCTGTAACCTCCTTACTACATTTTTTTTTGCAATATGTATTTATGAAGTTGGTCTTCAGTCACCTGTGAGAACACTTCTCAAATATGTAGGAAAAATGTCCCTTACACTGGCAGCAATGTCTGCTAGGGAGGAACAAAAAAATGCAGTGTCTGAGGCCAAGCAAGCTGCAGCTTAGGGTGAATGTTAAGTGTTAAAAAAAATTAGTATTGTTATTATTTGAAAAGAAGTTGAATCACATCTGTATATGAATGCACATGCACCTGACTGAGCAGTTTCTTTTCTCCTGAGCTCTGCCTACCGTTTTTCATTTCACTTAATAGAACCCGATCTCCTTTTGACCTCTGATACTCATGAATATGACAGTAACAGCGAATGAAAACAAAACGGCAATAACAAGTCTAACTCGGCACTGCCATTTGCATTCAGACCTCACCGCTTCAGCAATCAAGTCCTGAATACATTTCCCCTTCTCGTGCACGCAGGGTAAGGCCAGCGTAACATGAAATGAGAGGAACGCCAATAATGTCACGTACATAGCAAAGCCCTTCTTGCTCCTAGATCTCCACACTGGCGAAAAGGAATAAACCAAAAACTTAAAACAAGCCAACAAAACCAGGAGGAGCTCTTGAAGGAACCGCTCATTCGAATAAAGACTGAATTCTATAGGATGCTGGAGAACTCATTTGCAGAGACTTTTTAAAAAGAAAATGTTAACGTTTTCCCCCTATGCTATCCCACTTCAGGTTTCTGCATGCGGCGGGAACCCACTGCCAAAATAGAGCAAATCTAGGCATTTTCAGTTTGTATACTTGGTATTTGTGGCTCTCTGGGAAAACCGGGGGCAGTGAATTCTGTGCTCCTCTCCGTCTACCTTTTGGCTCGATGGCTCTCTTAACGAACTTCCTGACTTCCGTTAAAAAGTAAACTAAAATAAAAAGCTGAGTTTTCATAATGTGATAAATGAGAACAGATCTGACTCCATACTGGATCTGCTCTTTAAGTTTTGACCACTGTGCCCTGTTTTCCAGGCTCAGTCTTGCCAGCTCTGCACCTTTTGGGAAACAGTGTTGCCTTTAGCCTGAAATCCACAAGAGAGCCTATTCTCCGGGCCCTGACCTTTAAGGATGTCAGCTCTTCTGCACTTACTATAGGTGGCAAGTTGCAAACTAGAGAATAACCTTTGTTTTGTTGGAGGTTTACAGGGACACCATGGCCTGACCCGCTTGGACAGCTGCAAGAACAGAGAATTCCTGCAGCAAGGAGTCTGCAACAACGAACCCCACCCCTCCCCTGCTCTTTAGTGTAAAAGGAGCCTGTATTCTGACTGGAGCAGGATGACTCTCCAAGACATCATTCTGCCATCCTGTCGGTCTGCCAGGTTTCCGAATAAAGTCGCTATTCCTTGCCCCAGCACCTTGTCTCCTGATTTACTGGCCTGCCGTGCAGCGAGCAGGACGAGTTTGGACTCGGTAACAACAATAAAGCGAGCAGAAGAGGTCAAAAAGCTGTAACAGACAAAAAGCACTGGGGCTGAGAACATCTTTTTCTCCATCCTATGGTCCTGGCCTGACTGGCCGACGCTCCTCCGGTGACGGGTCTTTGCCAGGTGGCAGCTCAGCCCCACAGCCCTGCCCCGCGGGCTCCCACAGACCCTGCTGGGAGTGAGCAGTGCTGGGTGGCCACCCCTGTAAACCCCTCTCTGCATTAGTACCCAGATTTTTATTTCTTCTTAGAAATGAAACCGAAAATACTTCATTTAAAAGTCCACAAAGCTCACACAGGAAATGGAACACTGTATATTCTAGACAGAAAATTCAAGAAGTGACCTGTCCAGTTCCCCCCTAGCCATGGTCAATCCTGCAGCCCCACTGGGCACCAGGCTCCTGCCCATCGTGAGGGTTCTGGCAATAGATATGTTATAAAATTACCTGGAAAAAGAAAATTCACCTTGCCTGGATCAGTGGGATTAAAAAGTCTGCTGTTCAGCAAAATGAGGCAAAAACAAATTGCCCTTTGAAATACAGGGATGTGAAGTTAAGTTGCTACATACCCAAAATGAGTAATTTGAGCTGGAAAAAACACAACTTCTCTGGAAGGAGGCTAAAGTTAACTTCTGTGGGATAAAAATTAGTCTCTCGCTAAATTTTTCTTTAGGAACTCACACCTAAAACAAAATTTTAGTTTGTTGTGACAACATTTTTAGACAGGCCACGCTCCTAATCCTTTGGTTTATATTTTGTTTGTGCTTCTGGGCGTAATGAGACGCCCTAAGTCGCCCACCGTGTCCCCCAGGAGCACGCCCCCGGCTCCCACCACAGTGCCAGGCGTGAGGGGGCAGGTCAGTCTTCGCAGGAAATTTTGGAAGTAGGTTTTCAGGGAGCACTGAAGGACCTTTGCTCTAAACTGAGACAGGAGGGACGGGGGCAGGGCACCGTCATTAAAGGAATGACACAGCAGTGAGCACCAGGACGGTGGCAGACTCAACTCCCAGTAGACCTTGAGCTTCAGTATATGCTCCTCGTAACACAGTAGCTGCAAACGGTCTTCCCGCAGGGGCCAGGACAGTTCCCGGGCTGACCGAAAAAGCTCAAAAAGTGGCTGGTGGCCCAGTTCCTGGGAATCCCAGCCCCTTCCCCGAAGTAGTTGGACTAATCCTGCCCCTTGTTAGCACTGAAGTGACTGAGCCCATGAAAACTAGCAACACCATGCCTCGTGGGCGCCTCGCTCTGAGTGAGGCGGCCTGCGCTCTGCCTACGGAGTGTGCATCTCTCTGAATAAATCTACCCTCACTCAACTGTGGCTCGCTCTTGAATTCTTCGTGTGCGAAGCCAAGGACCCCCACTTGGTGGGGTGTGTCCCAGGCTGAGACAAGGGACACCACCATCCTCTCACCCCACATTTTCCTGTATCAAAATTGCCTTCCCCACTGGTCTCCCATGCCACGTCATCCCCAATATATATGAATCACTTCTGAGTTTAAAGCAGTTTTACCCTCTCTGTGTCCCCAGTTCAGATGTCCCTATAACATCTGAGCAGTTCTGTGTCCAATTCCGAGCCTCTCTTGGTAAAGTGTCTTCAACCTGTGGGGTCAGAATCTGGAGCAGCCAGGCCTGAGCAAGGCCCCTGCCTCTTCCAGTCTCGGGTTCCACGCGGGCAGAGTGAGGGGAGTGGTAACCGTCCAGGACCCTCCTCCGAGTCTCGCTGGGCACTCCTGCAGGAAGTCTGGGCTCCGGGGGGCCCGCCCCCGCCTCCAGTGAGGGCTGCGCTGAGTCCCTGCACAGACATCTCCTGGCTGGCACAGGATTTTGCTCTAAGATTTCCAGAAACAAAATAAAAACCATTTCAAGTTTTACTACCAGTCTACTGAGTAACTGAACTGGACACACCTACCAGCCCTCGGTAGCCGGCTGCCCTCAAACAGCCCATCCCCTCAGCTCAGGTGCCCAAGCAAACACAGGTTCAAAAGTCTCACATCCAAAGCATACAGATTCTTACAGAAAATAGTAGGAAAACACCCTAAGGGAGTAAGACAGGGTAAAAACAAAAAAGCAGCGTTAGCCCAGGAAATGGCTCACAGCACCGGCAGTCAGCACGCTAACGGGTGAGGAGGGCCATTTACCCAAAGGGGGAAGGGAGCTGCTGGCATTGCTCGCCTGAGAATCTCTTTGTGGGGGGATGGATGAGGGCTTTATTCTCACAAGTCACTGAGGTGACAGCCCTCACCCCAGGTGGGCTTCCTCGTACTGACCCCCTCACCCAGAAGTAAGGACAAAATAGTCTATGACTGGCACAGCACAGAGACTGTTAGACCAGAACGAACCTGCACCCACGCCGTCATCCGGCCTCCCCGGCCCTGGCTGGCTTCTAAGCAGGTCACGTGGTCTCTCCACGTGCTGCCCTGGACAGGAGCCACTGCCTCACGTGGCTCCAGAGCACGAGAAACGTGGCCACCCTGCACAGAGATGTGCCCCAAGTACAAACTTGGAAGACTCAGGAAGGAAAAGAAACAATGTACAGTAGCTTCATGGTTTATATTGATGACGTGAGGAAATGATACTGTGTTGGACGTGTGTTACACTGGGAAAAGCTTACTACAAAGAATTCCACCTGTTTCCTTTTATTTTTAAGTGAAGCTACTAGAAAACTTGAAATGACATACGTGCTTTGCATTCTATCTCTATTGCACAGAGCTGCCTTAGACCCCTGGTGTCCCCAGATCCAAATGTTCTTGTTTTCAAAGCTTTTTTGGGGGAAGGGGAGGTAATTAGGCTTATTTATTTACTTTTAGAGGAGGCACTGGGGATTGAACTCAGGACCTTGTGCCTGCTAAGCATGCACCCTACCACTTGAGCTATACCCTCCCCGTTTCAAATCCAAGTACTCTTTGTTCTGTGTTTAACCACACCCTTAGGGATCACCGTGAGAGTGAGTTAATCTAATGAAGTAACTGGGGTAAGTATGGCACTCTCATCAAGAATACAGAGTTGGAAGGGACCTGATTGGTCAGTTCACCCAATCCCATGTCATTTTCACAGGCAGGAAACTGAGGTGCAGAGAGGATCCCTATGTACCAAACACATCAAGGATGAGACTAAACTGCCCCCTAACTTCCAGTCCAGCCCCATTCCTGATTACACTATTTTATTACTGCAAGTATTTGCCCTTTCCTTGCAGACAGTACCTTAGCCCAAAGCAGTGACCCCCCTCGGAGCTGACATTCCCAGCGTGAGTGAGGATTTAGGGTCAGGGAGTCACTGCAGGTCCATGACCGGCCGTGTGTTCTGCCTTCTTAATCATCTATTTACAATGTGATCCAAAGGACCCTGTTGCTAAGCGTCTCCTCCCTTCAAAAGTGGCATCATTTACAGATGAAGCCGCAGAGCACGTCAGCCCCGTCTCAGCCTGTCAGACACAGCCCAGCTCCAAATGGCAAGCATCGTGTCCTGCTCCTAAGTGGGCTTGGTGCCCGCCAACTGCTGGTCCTTGGTCTCTAGGTTTTGACTCCAAACACTTCGTCTCCTACTAGTAACAGGAAATTCTTAAATTCTCCCAAGAGTTCTATTAACCTGCCACACCTCAGCTCAGATCCAGACACACAGCCACCTCGTGCTGTTTTCTGTGAAGGAGATGACACCGGATTCCCGGCTAGACTCTGTTACTGACAGTGAGACTTGCTACCGATCTTCTTTGAGGAAGTTAATGGAACACCATCCCTGCTTTCACCAGGGAGAGGAAGGGTAACCACGCCATCTCTGTACTGTTGAGACCGAGGCCACTTACTAATGAACAGCCAGATCATTTTGTCTCAGAGGTGGCTGTGCCTGGTGACAGCTGGCCTTGCACTGAGATACGCCCTTGCACTGCTCCCGTGAGAGGAAATGTGAAAATTACTTCTTTGATGGTGACAAAGACTGAGCGATCTGCAGAAACAGAGCTAAGATCACAACCAGAGAATCTGTTCAAAAAGCAATACATCAACCCACCCACCTGCCATGCAGCAAACCACCCAGCAGTGAGGCTGAGGGCTTACGAGCAGAACTTTCTGTCGTGTGCGCTTCAGGAGCTGAGCTGTTTGAATTCCCTTAACGTCGCCACACGGGACATGCTCTTATTCTCAGAGAGCAAGGTTCAGAAGGAATCATACCCTATCACATGCCACCAAAAATGAGACATTCAGAAAAAAGCGTATCATGCCTCAAGAGTGTCCTAGATTTTCTTGATTGAACATATTCTGTCCCAGGAGATTTATATGCCTTGTTAGAATGGACATTTGTTGTTTCTATAATTGGATTCCCTAGCCATGTGGTGGGCATGGGTCCTGCCTGCCTTGAGCCGTAAGCATATGCTACCCCAGGTCGAAATTTGGGAGTGGGTATGCCGCGGAGTCTAGCCCAGGGAGCCAAGGGGACTTTATTCCGCATCTGGTTGAGCCATCAGGGAAGTGGACTTTTCTTCCTGCTGGATTGGAGCCTGAAAACCAACATACCTGGAAGTAGCTGCTTTCTAACCGTGAAGAGACAGTTGATTCCAAAGCCCGTGTTCAAAGATCTAAGACACAAAGCACCTCCAGCTGTCGCCGCCTCTGTAAGAGGGATGGCAACCTCGAGCGCCTTCGGGGCCAACATCACAAACGCGGACCGCTGCCGGACGTGATGTACCAGGGAGCGGCGGGCAGGACACCGCCTGTCGTCCCTCAACGCATGCAAACCCCAGGGAAGACAAATATAGTGCTGCGATGGCCACCAGGTTGCCACCCGGCTCGTCAGCGATCCCGGCGCCTCTGCCAGCCCGGCCTCGGTAACTCTCCTCAGTAACCCCTCACCGACAGCCGGGAAGGGGCTACAGCCTCCCTTTCCCTCCTCTCATCTAAGGACTAGTAACTTCAGCCACTGAAAACATCTTACACCTTAAATCACATGAGAAACATCCTGGAGCAAACAGTATCTCCACTTTAACTGCCAGTGAGGAAACACAGAGCTAATTTCTGGGGCCAAGTTCTGTGCAAGCGAGGGGATTTCTGTAATGGGGCTGCTTCCGAAAGGGCCCAGGAGGATGCCTGCCCAGCTCAGCCTGCTGGGCTCTGAGTGGCTAGAGCTCTGTACGTTTTCATACCTGACACAAACCATCCACCTGGCCCACATCCTGACAGATTTCCAAACGTAGCAGAAGCATGGAGATCGAGTCACACATTTTTAAGCAAAAAGGGAACTGAATAAAACAGAAGGGAGTGAGGCTTTTTCTGATATCTATGTTTTGAAACTGGGAAATGATGGTGAATTTCTTAATGTGGACACATGGTGCCTGAGAACTCTTTCAAAAGTGAGATTACATTCCAAGTGAACCCTTCTACATAAGTTACAGCCACAACTTGGGGCAACCAGTTCAGTCACACAAAACAACAGCGCCCCCCGTGAATACTCAGCAAGACAGACGTGTGAACTTGGTCGAGCACAGCCATTCTGAGTGAGCAGCTTTAAGTAAAGGCGAGTCTTCCAACAGGCCAAGGCCAAGGCCAAGGTGGACGCAGGTCCCCTTGTTCTCTGCAGATTTTTTATAGACTTCAAAAATAAACAAACAGACAAACATCCCTGAATCTTCTTATTTACCAGAGTTTCTGATTATTTACTGTCAGTCAGGGTTTGGGGACTTTATAGGCATAGAAAGCGCTGTGAACCCGGCCCACCGAGATGAACGGTTTGTACTCGGTGCAACTTGGGATACAAACAACTGAACTGCCTTGAGTTAGAAGTAACCCCTGGTGTTACTGCCACCCGCTTCACATTCTAACAAGATAAAGGTCTCTTCTTTACCAAGCTGTGAAAATGACAAGAAGTGCCCTGAAACCACACGGAGGCCCTTGCTGCAGGGACAGGGGAGAGAGCCCATTCCTGCCTGTGGCTCTTCCCTGGTGACAAGGATGCAGGCGGGATTCAGCTCCCCTTTCTAGCACTGCCCCTCTGCGGTCACACGGAACTGCAGACGCTGCTGTCTGTCCCATCACGGCGGTTTTCACAGGAGCTACAACGCATCCTCTGATGTTACATTCCACGTGTTCACTCAACAGACACGTACTGAGCACTCAGCCCGCATCGAGCAGCTGAGGCTCGAGCGGGAACCAGACAGACAGGAAGGTCAGTGGCTCCCACACCGCACTCAGGGACTGGAGCAGCCTGCGAGGGAGCGGCGGGGGAAGCCAGGCCCCGAACACGCCGCAGAGCATCGGCACAAACACACACCAGAGGCGAGTGCTGGCGGGTGACCCACCAGCAAGGTGGACCCCAAGAGACATGCTGCTTCCATTTTAGGTTAGTGAAAAATAATGTTCACTGGATTATTTTTACAAAAACCTTTCTAGATAACGTCTAGAAAGTGAGGTGCCAGGCCACCTTTCTGGGGAGACGCAGGTTAATGCCTTCTAACAGGCAGTCCCACACGCCTGATCTGTCACCGTAGGAGCCTGAGGTTGATGAGCCAAGGTCCTGGAATGCCAGCTCCAGGCTCCTTGACGTGACAATCTGAAGAAAGAAAGACTTAGCCCCACAACCGTGGGTCTAAATTCATAGGAAATGACAATGCTGGCTTCTGCTGGGTTATGTTTTTGGAAGAGGGGCCCCACAGTAGCTTCAAGCAGCGGCAGCCTCTCTGTGGTCCTGCTACCCCTGCCCCTGGGGACAGACAGTCAAGGGCTCAAAGCAAGGTGTTGAGCGCTAGAAGCAGGGGACCGAGGTGTTGGGAAATTTAATTAGCATGTGTGAAACTAAAAGGGCCTGTGGCTGAAAGCCACTCCAGGAGTGTGAAGAATTATGATTGCTTTTGGAGAACTCCCATTTCCCAAGAATGAACAAGTGTGGACAAAGATGAGCTGCTTGGGTTTTTTTGTTTGTTTTTTAAAAAGTATCTTTTCAAGTCTTTTGCTGGTAAGGCTTCCAAAGTTTCTGCTGGGAAACTTCCTACCTTTCCTGAAAGGAAGATTTCACTTCATCTGCCCAGAGCAAGGACCTGCTTAAGCATGAAGAAGACTAGTACATGGATCTGCAGTGGACTGAATGCCACTTTTTTCACAGAAATGTTATATAATTCAGGAAGATACTTTTAAAAGCTTCCATGAAAGATACATACACCCCAATGTTCACAGCAGCCAAGATGTGGAAACAACCTAAATGTCCGTCGACAGATGACTGGATAAAGAAGGTGTGGTATATTTATACAATGGAATACTACTCAGCCATAAAAACCGACAACATAATGCCATTTGCAGCAACATGGATGGTCCTGGAGATTGTCATTCTAAGTGAAGTTAAGTCAGAAAGAGAAATACCACATGATACCACTCATACGTGGAATCTAAAAAAACAAAAGAAAATACTAATGAACTTACCTATAAAACAGAAACAGACAAAGCAAACAAACATGGTTACTGGAGGGAAAGGGAGTGGGAAGGGGTAAACTGGGAGTTTGAGATTCACAAATACTAACTACTATGTATAAAATAGATAAAAAAACAAATTTCTTCTGTATAGCACAGGGAGCTGTATTCAATATCTTGTAGTAATCGATAATGAAAAAGCAGATGAAAACGAACATCTGTATATATATGTATGACTGAAACATTACACCAGAAATTGACACATTATAACTGACTATACTTCAATAAAAAAATAAAATACATAGAAGCTTCCATGAAATCCTTTCCAATTCAAGAAGGCAGCACAGAGCAAAGATGAGAAAGGGACCTGAGGTCCCTGCACCCCAGGAGCTCCCAGTCTCGTGCGGGGGAGGTGCTGTGGAATCCACCACAGACATGAGGACTCACTGAAGTCACTGTAACCCAGGCCACCGTGCAGGACTGTACCGGCGGGTTTAGAGCAGGCTTTTAGTACGAGGGGTTTGGGCTGCATCTTGAAAGATGACCAGGACTTGAAGAAATGAAATGATGGGAAGAGCATCTAGGGCAGAAGAAAGTAAGTGAACAAAGGCACACACGTGTGTCTGGGGAGAGCAGACTGGGGAGAAGTGTGACTGATACACACGGAGGGAAGACATAAGGAACCCAAACCCTCACAGATTAAGGGCTGGGACTTGATTTGAAGGTTAACTTGGGGAAAACCAAGGGCAGTTGCTGAACAGAATGCCTTTGAGAACTAACCGTCGGGAGTATGGAGAATGAAATGAAGGTAGTCGAGGGCAACGGCTGACAGGGGTGAGGGATGGAACACCTGGGACCTGAGGGAGGAGGATTAAAAGCAATGCCCGGGGCGAGGAGGGGACGGGGAGGGACACGGCAGGGGCGGGGCGCCAGGATCTGGTCCTGATTAGATTCTGGGGGTTCAGGGGCCAGGGCAAGGGTGCTCAGATGATGCTACGTTTCGCGCCTGAGGAAGAAACAGGACTGTAAGACGGGAAAGGGGGGGTGAATGAGTAACACTGACTAGAGCTGCAATGAATAGGAACAAACAGCTAAGGACAGATTCAGCACACCCAACAGAAAAAGATATTATGTAAAAAAAAAAAGACAGTTGTTCTGCATTTTGGACTACATGCTACTTAAAAAAAAAAATAGACACTCTGAATGTCTTACAGTGGCAGCTGGAGGGGGCAGAGTCAGGACACCGCCTGACCCTGACACTGTCTAATCTGGAAGAGAATTTAGCCCAACATAACATCTACTACATATACGCCTTTTGACTTGCTTTAGAATTTTCCATTTTTCCAGAGTTTACGGGTCCTCCCCATGCTTTCTTATGACCACACTTGTTGGAGGATATGGATGAGCCCCAACTCAGTTAGGCGACTGCCTTGTGAAGGGCAGAGCGCGGTAGGAGGAACATGCACCGGTTGCCTAGCAGCAGGAGCGCGCAGGAAAAAGCATCGTGTGGCTCGTTTCCTCCACGGTGCTTTTTCTGACTCCAGCTCTGCTGGAAGAGAGGCAGAAATAGAGGGAGCAGCTGCCCGCCCGGCGTGTCCAGCCACCGTTGTTTTCATCTTCAGCGGGCACACGCCATTCCAACAGGCAGGCTGTTTGCTTTAAAGCGCACAGACGGACAGTTACTCTTTGATGCCTGTTTGATGCTCAGACAGAATCCTGCACAAGAGGGGCCACTGTGACCCAGACCAGGCCCGGAGCTCCCAAGGGAGAGGCCGGGTCAAGGTGCATCCCCCCCGAATACAGTAGCTGTAAAAAGACTGCCTCGTGGAAGAGTCACTGAGTAGCTCGGATACAGGCATCGGTTACATTTAGGTCAACACACCTCAAACTCCAGGTAGTGATCTTTCAGCTTGTACTCATCCACCTCCTTGGCTTTGACTTTCTTGTCCGGTGGGTAGGAGCGGTGCTCAGCCAGCTCCGTGGCGATCTGCTTCAGCTTGCTTTCATGAGATTTCAGCTGCTCCTCCTGCAGGAAAGTGTTCAGCCGTTTAGCATCCAGGAAATAGATCAATAGACTATTGCATACTTTTTACAAAAGCCCCTATGTAACAGAAAAGAACAAATCGGACTCCATATTAGATCTGTTCCTTTTGGCGTTAGCCCTGTGCCCTGCTTTCTAGGCTCAGTCTTGCTAGCTCTGCACCTTTTGTAAAAGAATGTGGCCTTTAGCCTGAAATAGACAGGAGAGCCTATTTTCAAGGCTCTGACCTTTAAGGATATTAACATTTTTGTACTTAATAAAAATAACAAGTTGCAGAATAGAAAATAACGTTCGTTGTGTTAGAAGTTTTACAGGGGCACCCTGACCTGACCCATGTGGACAGCAGCAAGAACAAAGGATTCCTGCAGCAAGAAGTTTGCAACAACCAATCACGCCCCCTCCCCTTTTTACTATAAAAGGAGCCTGAATGCTGACTTGGGTGGGATGGCTCTCCAAGACATTAGTCTGCCATCCTCTCGGTCTGCCGGCTTTCCAAATTAAGTCGCTATTCCTGGCCCCAACACCTTGTCTCCCGATTTACTGGCCTGTCGTGGAGTGAGCAGAATGAGTTTGGACTCAGCAACACTTATTATGAAAGACTTTAATTCACCAGGCCCCTAGTCACAAAACCAAATGCTTCCTGAGCCCTCGGTCAGGTGCACCTGCCGCGGAGTTGAGACTAGTCTGAGAGCAGGCCAGGCCCCCGCGGCCCAGTCAAGCACCTGCCTGAGGGCCGCGCAATCTGCTTTTCTAGTTCATGGCCGCTCAGCAGTGTCCGTCCGTCACAGTGGATGAAGACCTATCTGCATATTTTTCCCCCTTTTTCAGACAAGCAATGCTGTCAAGAAATAATTTTCTGAAAGCTGGTATTTTAAAATATGCAGCAATCTATGCTTTCTCTTCCAGGAGAGTACAGGTTCTGACTTCCTTCAATCACAAATTTCATGGACGGATGTTTAACTTGTTTGCAGGTTTCTCTAGTTTCTTTTATAAATAACGCTGCACTGAACATTCTTACACGTCGCCTAGTGAATATGATCACTTACAATCTCTTGACAGCATACACGCAGACCTCGTTTTATTGCATTTGCAGATATGGCATTTGTTTTTCAAACTGAAGGTTTGTGGAAACCCTGCATTGAGAAAGTCTATCGACGCTGTTTTTCCAACAACATTTGCTCACTTTGTGCCTCTCTGTCACATTTTGATAATTCTCATATCTCAGACTTGTTCATCATTATATTTGTTGTGGGGAATTGTGATCGGCGAGCCTTATGTCGCTACTGCAACTCACTGAAGTTGAGCACTTTCAAGCAATTCAGTTATTTTTAAATTAAGATACGTACATTGATTTTTTAGACACAATGCTACTGTACATTTAATAGACTAAAGGGGAAACAGAACCTTTGTATACACTGAGAAACCAAAAAAAGATCTGTTGTGATATCTGTCTGATGGCAGTGGTCTGAAACCAAACCCACAACGTCTCTGAGGTCTGCCTGTGATCACCCAGAGGTGAAATTTCTGGGTTTTAGACAATGTACATCTTTAACATGACACTAAACCGTTTTCCAAAGTGTTTGCACTAGTTTATACATTTCCACAGTAGGCTCGAAAGGATGCTCCGCATCCTTGCGAAAGTTTGCTATCATACTTGCAAATTTTTGCTAATTTCATGGGTATAAAATGGTAATCCACTGTGATTTGAATTTTTATTTTCCTGAGTACAAGTGAGGATGAACATTTTTTCATACGTTTCATGGGCTTCCTCTTCTGTGAACTGGCTGCTGAAATAGTGGACCTATTTTGATAATTGGTCTAGATTTGTAAAGTACAGTGATTCGCAGTTTAAGAAAAACAATTATTTTCTTTTTTGGTTAATAAAACAATTCAAACAATCAGTACGAACTTCTCTGCAGTTTTTGGACTTGGGCTCTGTGTAAATGTTCTTCCCCTCAGAGCTTTAGATTTAGATGTCTCGATCTTGAATATTCAAAGGTCTCTTTCTGGTTGAATAAATCCCAATTTCTACTTATTTTAATGAGGAATAAATGTCAGCACAACATTATGTAAAACATACTATACTTCCCACTTCCCTACCATTACCAAGGTTTCCCAGGTTTATGCATTGCTATTATAAGCTATGATTTATAAACCTATTTCTATAAGCACAAAGGGCTAGTTGTTTTTGAGCTGTACTTTTACGAAGAAACTAGTCAAAGGAATGCTGACATTCTACGCGCAGTGCTTCACTCCAATTTCACTGCCTTCCTGAAGCAAGAATCAAGGAAGGCATCTCAGAATGAAAGCACTGTAAAATCACATTTCTTAAATCTATTTTGGCCAGGGAAATGAAGATACCAAGTGGATCCTGGGGCACAGATACAGCTAAATGAGGCCAACTGTTCCAAAGCTGGAATCCCACGGTAAGGGAGAGACACAGACGTCCCGACAGAACTGATGTAAAAGCGGGGAGAGAGGCAGCCGCCCATTCTCAGACTCACACGGTTCAATCTGTAATGTTCACGGTGAAGAAAGACAAACCAGGAGCCGCCCCCAGAGACTGTTCTTAGGAGACAATGCCAACGAAAGGGATTTCAGAGAAGGCAGAGGAATACTTCTGACGACATTCAAAGAAAAGGAACAGAGGCGGCAGATGGCATGCACGCACTGAGACCGTTTTAAGTTAGGAAGTCCTACCTTAAGTAGTGGTGCTAGAAGGATGATTGTTTTATGTCAATACATGTACACTGGGAGAACCTTTGATGATATATACAATGAAATTTCATCTAAAAGGCATGTTTCAGATGATGTCTCTTAATATTTCATTTTTCCTACTTAGTATTTTGACTTTGAAGAAAATTTCGTATTTTCCTTTAAAATACCGAACTCCATCCCTATGAGGTATCTCTTGGCTGATGAAGCAAGCTGGCTGCTCAGGACCTCGCAGTGCGTCTGGGGCTGAGGAGGAGCCCAGTGGTTCGGCCCCAGGCAGGCCCACCAGTGAGCTCTTCATCCTTTTGTACCAAGTAGGAGACTCAGGGAGGGGAGGACAAAGAGGACCGGGGAGAGGTGGCAGTCGAGGTAGAACACAGCCATCCATCGGCACGCTCACCGCACAGCCACTAGGTGACATTGCTAGAAAAGCCACGGTTCCTGCCATCGATCCTCCTTCCGTGGGGAGTACAGAATCCTAGGAATTCTAAGGTGAAAGAGAACCTGGCCTTCACCCTCCCTAACCTCCTCCTCTTAGAGGCCATGGAGATCCAGAGAGTTCAAGTCCTTGCTCAAGGCCACAAGGGTAAAGACAGTGGGGCAGCAGCCCCGGTCTCTCAACTCCAGCCTCAGGACAACGGTGCTAAATCCAACAGGCTGTTGAAAACAGAAGCTTCTAACCAGTGGGCTCCTTACGGCATCAGTGCTCACCTCAGCTGTCCGGGCTCTCGGTCAACCCTGCCGGTCCTCACCTGCCTTCTCTCCTGTGGCTCTGACATGTGGGTTGGGACCTGGGCCCGTCTCCAAATTCCATTCAAAGCCAGTGTTGTCCAGATCCCACAGCCGCCTCCTCTACATCTAGAGCACTTAAATGTCTACACCCCAAGCTTATTATAAAATATGCCCTGACCGAGGTGTGAACTGTATCTCCTTGACTGATTACTAGCTCTTCGAAGGCAGAGAAAGGTCGTTTTCCCTTCTCTCGGCATCTCCAGTGTCCAGTGTGGTGCTGAGCAGGGGACAGAGACAGGCCCAGTTCTGGCTTGTAGGTACTACCCGCCTGACACCAGCACCTTTAGCTTCTATTAGCTGAGCACAAAACCACATCTGAGCTATTTTTATGAAGCCCATGGTATCTAATGCAACACCTGATATAATGGGTCCCTCAGGAAACAGCTGAATAAATGGATTCCATTTTTAAAAAAGGGAAGGTGAAGCGGGAAAGCTCGGACTGTTTCCTTGTGCTGCTGTGAAGTGGACGTGATTTAGAAGGTGATGACACTTCCAGGCAATTAACAAAGCAGATCGCTAAATCCTGCAGCTTCATCCAACCCAGGCTGCTGGAATTTAGAGGAAAAAAAAGAAACACCTGCCTTTGAGTCAGTCTGGTGGGGGGCAACTGCTGCCAGCACCGTCAGAAAGATTTTGTTTCATCATTTCACGTGTAAGACAGGTTTGAAGACCGTAAACAGTATTTAGTGAGCATAACAACTTCAACAGGACTTGACTGTCTCCTTGAGTACTCAGTATGTGTTAACTACAGACCTCTAGCAAGTGAACGCAAAAATCTATCTATTCTGAAAAGGTGTGGCAAAAATGGAGTCTACGTTCATGCCATGGAGTCTGGACTGCTTCTTGCCGGCGAAAGTGAGGCAGTTAAGGCTCAGTGATGTCAGGTGAATGACATTTTGGCCAGAACTGTGCAGGATGGAGTGGAGAGAAGCAAGATCAGAGGTACACAGGTCTTGAGTGGTTACAGAAATAGTCAGAAATAAAGAGATTTCCCAAGTGAGGTGTGCACGCCCCGGGCAAGGAAGAGTCTTTGAAATCAGCACTGAGACAATTCACACACCACACAACCCGCCCTGTGAAGTGTGCGATTCAAAGTGTCTCAGTACACTCACAGGGCTGTGCGCCCATCCCACAATTTAATTTTATGACATTGTAGTTCCCCTCAAAGAGACCCTCTGGAATGGAATCACACAATACAATCCTTTTGTGACTGGCTTTTTTCACTCAGCTAAGGTGTTCAAGGTTCATCCACAGTGTAGGAAGGGTGCTCCACTCTTTCATGGCTGAGTGACGTCCCACTGTATGGAGAGATCACATTTTATACCCATTTCTCAGATGACATTTCCACCTGTGGCTGTTCTGAGTAATGCTGCTGTGAACATTCACATCAAAGTTTTTGTGAGAATGTAGTTTCTATTCTCTTGTTATATAAATGAGAGTGGAATTGCCGGGTCACGTGTTAACTCTAGGTTTAAACA